TGCGTACTTCAATGTGTATTCCCCTTTAGAACTGTTTTTTTTTTCGAGTAATTAGCTTTTTCCCCTTGTAAGCATTGACAAAATCAAATACTCATATATTTATTAACGCTTTCGTCACCATTGACCACATGACTTCGGCTCGAGATATGTCAAGATAAAATAGATAAGGAGTGACGTAGGCCAATCACAGCTCCACCCGTGGAACCACTTTTGATTGTGAGACTGAAGATGACGTATATTAAGAGGTCCTTGAAAAGTGAGTGTGTCTATGCCAACCCATCTTATCTTGATCATATTTGACCGAAGAAGAAGGTGCACAAAGTAGCTTAATGACAGACTGTGACAACCACATAGTTCTTTTTATCGTATTGTTGAAGTGATGTTATCTAATCGAACAGCTAGGAGTTAGTCAAATCATTATTTGACTTGCATGAAATACATTTCTGCATCCGTGTTATTACATTACGGGTGTCTACAAGAGCAACCTCATGTGCTGCACTGCCTAAATTCACACCTTTCATCTCCTTTATAAGCTCTCTTCCCAATCAGTTGTCCTAAACCGCCCGGATGTGATTCCAGCCATGTCAGCTGCGCTTGAATGCTTTCGTTCATTGCATAATTTCACCCAAGATGAATTGACTACTGGACGTATCATCTATGGAGTACTGCTCGCCTCGATAGCCACTGTTTCGGCCCCTTTAAATATGCTTCTGCTAATTGTTATTCTTACCACCGGAGCCATAAAAAATCCTTTTCGCTTCTATTTGTTGAGCGCTACCTCAGCCGGACTACTGGGTCTTGTGCCCGTTTATGCCACTCTATTGCCTGCTGTGTTTTTCAATGTTCGACTCAAAGATCCAACGAATATAATCGTTTCCACTACGGATACTCTATCGTATCTTGCCTTGATGATGACTACCACGACAATTGCAACCGATCGGCTCCTGTTCTTTTTGTTACCAAAGGTTTGTATGAGTAAGCGGTGCATACAAATTTGAATAAGAAGAAAACTAGAAGTGGTACGTTGACTATTTTGATTTTTTTCCACTAGCACTCTCTCGCAGTAGCGATCTATAACGTTATTAGTGAACATCTAAACTTCGTGCTCATAAGCTCATTTAATTAATTTTATGTACTTAGCATCTCTATAAATCTACATACTTTTCAA